TAGAGCATATGAGCAGACTAGCATTCCTATAAAATACCATGCAAGTTCTTATCATGACTTTAATTATCTGATTTATAAATTTCATAAAAATTCAAAAGTAGGGCAGAGTAAGCTCAAGAACTAATACGTTCTCACAGTTCTTTTTGATATAAACGTTAAGGTTATTGTCTATGCAGAAAAACATAAAATTGAGCTCTACCGATGTAGCATTATTTGCCCAATCTATTCCCTTAGAAAAAACAAAATAAAAGGATTTTGTCTATGGAGAAGGAAAGGTGAAAATTGTGGAGTTTCTAAATCGTTTCACAAAGGAAACAGACTGCTGATCGTATAGGTATGGCCTCAGATGTTGGAGACTTCTTCTCAAAACAATTCAACAATGTGAAGGATCTATTCGCTACCAATCAGTCGGTATGTGTACATCCTTTTTAGCAACAAACTGACTTCATTTAAGTCGAACTAACACGACATATGTGATGTTACGAAATTGATATTTGCATGATTGAGAAATTTTAAAAATCCATGTACGATTTTTGCATGGTTGAACTTTGCCTTTTCTACAAGTCCTCTCATTGCGAGGGAATCATACAAGTTCCAAATTTACAAAAAAAATGCTCTGCTCAAAATTTAACTTCAAATGGTGTTTTAGGAATTGGAGAAGAACATCAATAGGGTGAAAGATCTGCTAATGGCCGTTAAGGAAAAAATAAAGGTTTGTTAGCATTCAACTGTTTTTCAGCGTTAAGACCATGGTACTATAGTACTGACTGAAAATAGATGTTACAAAGACTAAATCAATTTATCTTTCCTTTTTTCTTAAAAAGTTAGGAATATATTTTTGGTGAATGAAGGGATTTCACCAAATCTAGAAGTTCCCATGATTCTACCTTACAGTTTAGAGCTATTACTCACTGTTCTAGGAGAACATTTTTCAACCGTGATAACCTATCAACTGCTTCGTGTCTCAATTTTCAAACAACTAGTGATTTTCAGATGCTTGAACCAATGGCTAATGATGCTCAGAAGAAGACTTTAAGTCATGTGGACAGCTATCTCGAGGAAGTACAGTCTTTCGGCAGTCAGGTTGGGAGCATTTCGTTTTCTGCTCATCCGCCTCAAACAGTAAATATATTGATTTGAAGAGCCCTCCTCGTTCAGCTTAAGTACTTAAGGCGTAACCTCATCTGTGTTTACTTTATTAGGTTTCAAGAGGAAAAAATTGAGTGATTTTTTGAATTACGGCGCTATATGCTTGTCCAAGAATTGATTTTAGGATTTTAGGAAGGTTAAGAA